GAAACTTCAGTGTCAGTGTCTATTTAGAAAAAGCACCATGAATACCAAGATGTGTTCACAACCCTCTGGTAAAGCACAGAAACACAGGAAGGAGAGGGGACAGAATGAGGGTCCCTGCAGGGAGTGAAGGAAGGGTAAGGAATCAGAAAACAAAGGAGAAAACTATTGCATCCTTGGTGTAGGTGAAAGTATCAAATCAGAAATTAGTAATTAGCCTGGGGCTAAGGGACACTGCAAAATAAATCACTGGAACTTTTCTTTTTCCTTTCTTCCTGATGGACACCATAAAATCTGTAGCCTTGCTATGCTCTGTGTCTATTCTGCTGAAGTGGCCTCAATCACTTGTTCCTGTGGTACCAGCTCCCTTAGAGAGCAGTGTCTCCCAGGCAAGGAGGGCACCACAGTGCAAGCTCCACCAGGGCCCCTCCCAACTGCTTGAGATCATTGCTCTCCTCTGCATGTCACGAAGTCTGTGCCCGCTCCCTGACACAGCCACTTTCTGGGGGTGCTGGAATAAATGGCTGTCTCCACTTACATCCGAAAAGGCTTCCGGCTGTGTGCCACGTCAAGCAATCTGACAAGCATTTAAATGGATGTAAAAAGAACACCAAGTGGAAAATATTTAATGACAGGCAACAGTTTCTTCCAATGCATAGAAGCACATTGTAAAATGATACTCATAAGTTATAAATGAAACGTAACCATTTAATTTTACCACTCTATAATGAATTCCTCACACTAGAGTAATTTACTTGTAAAAATAAGTACATGTTTTCCAAATGCCTACTCTGCTCTCAAGGCAGGTCTAAAATGTATTAATAATCAGTCAGCCTCAATCTTGCTTGTCTTGATAGAGCCATCTAATTTTAAGTTCAAATGAACAATGGAACTTCTGGGTACTGATCCCTGGGAAGCTTCAGAGTAAAATTTCTGATTTCTCATGAGGAAGTTGGACTTCAAGGGCAAAAGAACACTGTCAGACACTGCTGTGAAAATAAGGAAACATCATTCGGTACACAACTGGCCCCAGAGGGGATGTGGAACAGGGATGCTGCAGTTTTCCATGCAAGTTTGTGCCCACCTTCCCCCTGTCAGGCCATCTGGTCCTACCTAAGGGTCATAAGGACAGTAGGAAGACACAGACATTCATCTGCAGGTGTCCAGTGTTACCAGAAGGCAAAAAGACAAGGTACTGCAGAATAATTCCCAAATCTCAAGATTTTGGGAACTTTGGTGGGTAGAACCTAGGAGAAATTAACCTCACCTGAGTGGGTCCTGGCTGCAGTCCTTGGTGGAGATAAAACTCTATTTGCCTCTGGCCCAGGAAATGCCTGGGAAATGCCTCTACATACTTCCAACCACACCTTGCAGAGGTGGTCCCATTAGTGAGGCATGCCAGGTCCTTGTCCTCCATTGGCCCTGGGAAGCTAATGGCCTTGCCTACCTGGGAGACTCAGTGCTGTACAGTGTCTGCAGAACACAAGGAAGTACAACTTTGTCCTTATGGCCTCTGTATGGGACTCTGCCTGAAAGGCAGCTTGTTTTCTCCCAAGAGGTCTATGTGGTGGTGGTCTGAAAGCTGTGCCTGAGAAATCTGTTGCCATGAATGTCACCTCTTCTGGGTAAAGGAAAAACAGTTACGAGAAATTAGGCCAGGTGCTATGGCTTGGATTGTTTCCCAAAGGCCCATGTGTTAAAGGTTTGGTCACCAATCCATGACATTATTGGAAGGAGGAGGAACCACCTAGTGGAAGGAAGGTAGGTCACTTGGGCGTGTGTCCTCGAAAGGGATATTGAGACCCTGACCCCTCTTCTCTCTTTGCTTCCTGGCTGTCACAGGAGAGCAGCCTGTGAATGTGGGGAGTTGGAAGTTTGGAGATATAGAATAGAGAAGTCACAGACTTCTATAAACAGAGCTTAGGCTAGTTCTAGTGATAGCTCTGAGGACCAGAGTGCTGACAAGAGTGTGAACAATGAAAGACCACGCTCCTGAGGTTCCAAATGGGAATGAGGGCTCTTTTAGGAACTGTACCACAGGCCACACGTGTTACATTCTTGCAAATTATTTGTCTACATTTTGCCTGTTCCTCAAGATTTTTGTGAGGCTGAGTATAAAGGTGATGAACCAATTAATTTTGCAGAAGTTATTTTGAGGCAGGCTACCATTTTTAAGGTTGTTACATGGGTATTGCTAATTGCCCTTAGTCAAGTTGACAGTCAAGAATGGGAAGCAAGAGTGGAAAGATTTGAAAAACCTGCAGTTTGGTCTGAAATGCCTATATGTAAAGTTGGTGTTAAGGAAGATATGACATGATTCCTAAAGATATTAGCTCTGTTAAAAAGGAGTCCAGTACTTTTCATAGGACAATAGGAAAGATGTTTTGAGTGCATCTCAGCAATCAGCAAGCTCAAGGATCTAAAAGTGTAAACTCATTTTAAAGACTTCCCCCCGAGAGAAAGGGATGCTGGGGTACCCTGCTCACTAGGAAGTTGTTTCCCTAGGATTCATACCACCAGGTTCAGCTGCCCAGGTGCTGCTGTAGCCATGGTGCAAGAGGGCCTGGCTCTTGCTCAAGTTGGTGCTGTATCTGCTTTGTCCATGTGATGCCGTTTCCTCAGGCATGCAAAATATAAGAGTTATGGGAGCAAGGAGGCTTCCCCACAGACCTCAAAGGAAAGTCTGGCAGGCTATGCAGTGTTTAGCAGGGTCAGATTCCCTGTGGGCAGCTCCTGAGACAGTAAAGCATGAAGCTGTGAGAGTAAAGCCAAAGATACAATGGAGACCCCAGAAACATGGACAGTTTGCTGAGGAAAGTTTCTGGCAATGAGCATAGCCAACCCAAGAGAGGGGCCACAGGGCCAGGGCTGCGCCCAAGCACTTTAAAGATGCTCACGCCACCCTCTGACCCAGGTGCTGGATGTGAACCTGTGAGAGTTAACGTTTTCCCTGCTGGGTTGTCATCTTGTTTTGGTTCGAATCCTCCTTGCTATTTTTCTCCCTTTTGGAATGGGAATGTTTACTCTGGTGTTATTGTATGTTAGAAGTATGTAACGTGCTTTTTGATTTTTATAGGAAGGTTGGAGGCATGGTTCATGTGGTAAAGCACTTGCCTAAATTGAAATCCACATTCTGCCCAAAATAATTTGATTTTTACAAAGGGCTCATAGCTCAGAGTTTGCCTTGAGTCTCAGAAGAGTCTTTGGGCTTAGGCTTTTATTATTAATACTATTTTTTGTGGTACTGGGGGTCAAACTCAGGGCTTCCTACATGCTAGGCAAGCACTCTAACCACATCCTCTGCTTGAACTTTTGATCAATATGGAGGCTGCTGAGACTTTGGGGAAAGTAATTAATTAGTGCCTTTTTAATTGTATGCAAGATAGTTATGTTAAGAGAAATTATGCCCTTGTTAATTCCTTTATTTTGAGATTAAGTATGAAATATATAAGGAGACATTTTTCGGGTGTCAAGTTCAGAAGGTAATGGTTAATGGTTAATTTGGACTGTCAACTTGATTGGATTGAGAGAGGAGTTGGTAATGCACGTCTCTGGCTGTGAGGGTCTTTCTAGAGAGAACTGGCAGGCCTCCCTGGTGGTCTAGTGGTTAGGATTCGGTGCTCTCTCAGAGAGGATAGGCAATTGGGCAGCACCATCCAATAGGGTGGGCTCCCAGATGGAACAAAAGGGGAAGGAGAAAGCCTGTCAGTGCAAGCATATCCTCTTGCTCCCTCGCTGCTGCCTGGCTGCCATGAGGTGAGCAACTCTGCTCCACCATGCCCTTCTATGAGGGAGTTCTGCCTCACCACAACAATTATAAACACACCCACAGCTCAAAATCATCATAATTATGGCAGCTTATGACAAGCAGTGGAAATACGTTTGCTTTTCACCACATGGAAAATCCTGGACACAGACTATCAGAGTAAGCCTCAGGAAAGAGGCCGGGATCAAGGATCAACCACTTCTCCCCTGCAAGGGATTCTCTCAGTTGTTGGTCCCCTTTCCATTCTGCCTCTCAGGCCTCCCTGCACTCCTGTGGCACTTTGTATCTGGTATTCTGGAGTACACTGTGCTGCCTTGAGTCCTCATCTCTTCTGTACTATTGAGCTTATGGGTAAGGATCTCACTTCATCAATTGCTATTTTTTTCTCCCTTCTAAGACCATGCACACAAAGTACTCAAGAAGTATTTTCCTGTTATCAACAGATTAAGGACTTTCATTCCTCATTACCACACCAAGATGCACTTTGGGAATGTGTGAGAGAAAGTATGAAAAAGGGAATGGCTCCTTCTGGGAGGAATCAATTTTAACCAGTTGAAACTGGATAAAGCTAATCTTGATGAGTCCTAACTTATCTCAAATTGCTGGAAATGTGTAGTTCTATGTTGTGGGCTGCAATGGTTTTAGGTGATGGGCCCAGCAGGCTTCCATTGTGCCACTCTAAGAATGAATGCACATTAAGTGTTTCTGGTAATTCTAGGTGGTTTGTGCCATCATGATGAAGATTCTAGAGCTTTACATTTCCATAGTATTGGAGCAGTTTTGGCTGGTTCAAACTGGGTTAACTTTACACTGACTTGTTTAGACTACCCAGGTTAGATATGATCAAATTGTTCATTTTACTTAAAGCAAGCAAGTTCAAACAATGCCCTAGTTTGAACCAACTCTACCAAGAATGCTTAAGTCTCTGGTCACCAGTTGTCAGTGGAAATCCTCTGCTATACTTCACATTTGAGATATAATACTCCAAATTTCTCATTATATCAACTTCTTGAAGTCTATGGTCACATGTACTTTTTCTTAAGAAAGTATGAGCTAAAGAGTTTTATTTAAAGACTCCAGTACACATTGGAAATCTTCTGTTTAGACTGTTAGCAGGAACATGGCATGTCCTGTCTGTGATGTTATCTCAACACACTGTAACCTTGGACTAGACACAGAGCTATGGAGGATGCCGGGGACTGCTTGGGTGCCTGCAGCTGCACACAATCCCCCTTACCTTGATCCTGCTTACTGCCTCCTGGGCCTGCATCATGCGTACATTTTTGGAGGGGGTTTTGTCTGACAGAAGCTGGGTGGAGCCAAGGTAATTGGCGGCAAAAATGATTCCATCAATCAAGTCTTCAGGGTCACAAGGTCCAGGAACTGTAACATATAAAATCACAGTAGTGAATCACACCCCACAGGGTCTCCCCCACCCTCCCCTGACACAGGTGGTTAGCCTGCTAGTCTGAGGTATCCATCTGCCTGCACTCGCCCTCCAGTTTTAGAATCATTTACATCACCCTAGTGATTTACTGTGAGAAATGCTGCAAGTATTTACTTAAATATGAAACAAAGTCCAGTGATAAAGAATGTTGTTTCTCCTGTTAAGACTGCCATCTCTTTGGGGACAAGGACCATGTCATATTCATCTGTATCTTAGTCTCCGTCACCTCATAGACATCAAGATGTTTGCTAGGTAAATGGTTAGGTGACTAGAAGGCCGTCTTATTGGAAAATATCAGAAAAAAACCCAGTATTTGTTTCAGAATATCTGGATTCCTAAAATAGCGTCTGATCACAATTCTGCAAAACATAACATTATCCCAAAGCCCTGGTCCCATGCTGCCAATTTAAAGGCCATTACGTCCCTGGAAAAATCATAACTGATTGTTCTTATTCATCAGCCTAGTAAATCCGTATCGTTTAAATGGGCATCTCATTCTAACCACAGTCACCTGGTAAACTGTACCCCAAATTAAAATATATTTTCTTTGAGCACCAAATCTGGGGAGGCTAAAATATAAAATTTTATATTTTGAAACCTTGGGGTGTTAAAGTAAGTAATCTGAAGTGGTTTTTATTTTCATCTTACCCATCTAGCTCATTTTGAGGTTACACTGCGACTCCTCCACAATAAGCTGCTTTTCCAGGGTACAGACTTAAAATAATCTAGTCATTTTTCTGAAACTAAGGTGGTAGTCAAAGTGTTTTAGGAAGGACCTTTACAACACATCTGCATACTAATTAAATAAGGAACCTGTTATATGTCTCATCTTTACAGGGAAGACTTGTGGACAAACACTGTCAGTGGTGCTCTGCCTCCCTTACACACCAGGAATTGACATGCTTCCCAACAGCTGGCATGGTTCCCACCCTGAACCGTCTATAGATGCGAGAAGGATTCAGGTTATTTACAATGTACAGTTTTAGTTGTATAGCAAGGAAACACTAATCTACTGACAGCTTTGGACCTACATTATGTTCTAATAAGGTATAAGATTATCAGTTTTGTGTAAGTTTCTAATGATGGATTTACACTAATACTTAAAATTTTTATTTTTGGTGGTACTGGCATTTGAACTTGGATCCTCATGTTTGCTAGGCAGGTGCTCTGCCACTTAAGCTCCCCCCTTTTTTTTGCTTTTTAGTTATTTTTCAAATAGAGTCTCTCCTTTATGTCCAGGTTCAACTGGACTGCACTCTTTCTGTTTACGCTTCCCACAAAGCTGGGATGAAGGTACCTGCCACCATGCCCAGATTTTACTGTCTGAGATGGGGTTTTGCTACTTTTTTCTGGGCTGGCCTTGAGTCATGATCCTCCTGTTCTCTGTCTCCTTAGAAGCTAGATTCCATCATGTCTGATTGAACTCTACCATTGATAAGTGTCCCTTTTCAACCAAAATAAGTGTAAATGTGCAGGTATGTTTAAGAGCAATCTAAATATTTAAATGACTGTAAATGCCAAGCAGCTAAGGGACCCAGATATTGAACAAGTTTCAGATTTGATCTTATGCCATTTATCCTTCAGGGAAATTGACTACAACTGACACTCTGGAAACAAAGAAATCCTACATTCATAAGTTCACTTTAGGCTTGGTGGTGTTGTGCTTTTTTAAAAAATTGGAATGGGCATGGTGGTGCACACCTATAATCCCAAGTACTCAGGAGGATCTCAAGTTCCAGGGAAGCACAGGCAACACAGTGAAACCCTGTCTGAAAAAATGTTTTCTCATTAAAGCTATTATGATCCTGCATCAAAGGACTGCAGGTTTCATTGTGGCTTTTTGGAACATGCCTTTCCCTACCAAATTGCCTCACACAAAGGTTAATGCTGAGCCTGAAAATCCCAAGACCTAGAGGCTCTCTTGGAATCCAGAGCTGTAATAGAGAAAAGGATGCAAATAATTTATAGGGCACTCAGTAAAAAGCCCCAACTTGTTAGGCCAAAACTATGAGCTTGTCCTGGGCTTCAGGCCTGACTGAGGGGTGGGGGGCTCATGAAGGTTTATGATCCTGGTAACTTTTCCAAGTAGTGGACCACCAGCTGTTTATTCACAGGATCCAAAGGCTGGACACAGCCTCCTGAAGAAGCATCTCCCCTGGTACAGCATCAGTGCCACCTAGAGCCAGAGTGTGCTTCTGTGAATGAGTAATAGGCATTTGGGGGGAATAACCTCAAGCTAAGGTGCAAAGACTGAGCTGAGTTTTGGCCCCACTAGTCCTCTTAGCTGGGTTCATGGGTGCAGAACCCAGAGAGAACTGGTCCCAGAGAGAACTGTGCAGTAAGCCTAGCCCTACTACCCCTTGATGCCTCAGTTCTCTCAGGTATAACATGACAATAATAATAATAATAAAACTCGCTTTACAAGACTGGTGTGAAGATCTGACTAATTATTACATGTGTCGTGCTTAGAACAGTACCTGACAAAGGCTATTTGATAAATGTTACTGTTAATACAGTTCATCCAAGCAAGAGATAGGAAGGTCTTTCTTAGACAGAGGACCAAAATTTCTTCCCTAAAGTTCATTTCTATTTGAATTGTCCTCACAGGGTCAGAAGACTTGGATTTCATATCCAGTGTGACCACAATTAAGCTGTATGACATTGGTAAAAGCCCATGGCCTCACCTCTAGCCTCAGGTCTCATCACAGAGGTTCACAAGCTAGTGTACTTTTAGTCTAAAGTCTCACTGGGAATTTGTGGCCTTTCTTCCCCACTGTTTATTTTTTCTTTTTTTTAAATATCCCATGTTTTCAAGGCCCCAAATGCTAAAAGATTCATGAATGACTTAGTGCTCAATATTTTCTTTTCGGTTCTTACCTTCAACGTAGGTTGGGAATGAAGCCAAGCTTTTTCTTGACTGTAATTAAGACAAAGAGGTTTCAAAAAGGGCAAAGCATGATGAAATATGCATCCACACAATCATCCATGCAACATGAAAAATAAATACATCACCAGTGGCATTTGTTAACCAGTTATCGACTATTTTTCACCAGAGAAAGTATGGATAAACATACTCATTTATTTTTAAAGGTTAACTAAAACCCAGAGCAGTCCATTCAAATTTTAGATAATCTCAAACTACATTTAAAAATGTCCCACAAAGCAAAATCTACAATTAGCAATAAAAGGGCACAATTTATGTTAAGAATTTGTGTTCCATGGGAAAAACTGTTGATTAGTAACAAAACCAATAATATGACTGCACACTGAAATTAAAGATCTCCTTGGAGAATTTTATTCTAGGCCTTTACTATAAAGATCTCTGTTTAAAATGTGCTAATTTTTTCTCTTCCTTTCATCTCTTACTGACTTATTTCAGTTGAAATAAATTATACAAATATTGTATGCTTCCTTAAAATAAGAACACAAAAAAAGAATAAATTAAAAACCCTGGAGTTTCTTATACAAGTAATAACTCATAGCAGAGGCCAGTCTTCTAATATGACTGTTGGAAATGGGTGTAAAGAGCTAATTCTAGAACTTGACTGTATAGCAGTTTAAATGCTAGCACTTAAAGGAGCAAAACTTGCCATAGGCTCCTTTCAGAAGTAATGTCCTAGACATAACTCTATGTGAGGTAAGAACAGTGAATAAGTTTCTGCTTTAAACAATAGCAGGATGTATAGATGATATGTCTGGGGTAGGTGATGCAAGCACTGGAGGAAAGCTCACACTAAAGACAAGAGTCCTTAAAATGAGCAAAAGATAGGGTTTACACAGCCAAGATTTTTATTGCTGAGAATCTACCAGAAGTATGTGATCATTATGCAGTATTTAAATGTATGCCTTTTAGAGAAGGGGCAGCTAGCCCACCATAGGTTGAGCTGCATACATGGATGCTCTGGGGTACCTGGTGGGCTAGAAGAGAGGGCTCAGGGTGAGGACTGGGATGAGATAGGAAGCAACTCCCCATCCTAGCACTTCACATGAAAATATAAGGGATGATTAATTTGGCTAATATCTGCCCAATATTCTAAAATTGTACTGTGAAAAATTGGGGGCATTTAAAACTAGGTTTCATTAAGACTTGAACTCAAGTCAGGACAGTGGCAAGAATTTCACACAAATCACAAAATAGGCCACACGGGCAATTTTTTAGTACACAAAATAGTACACACAGGGGCAGATGTGTTTGCTAGGATGAAATGGCTCCTCATCCCAAAGAAGTTGGGTCTTGTGGGCACCAGAAACAAAAGGTTACTGGCTGCTAATGCATTTATGGAAATACACAGCAAGTGCAAGCCAGGATATGCAGACAGAAGGAAAGAGAACTCTGACTTCAGCAGCACTCTACATTCATTTTACTTTCCACCTGCCTAGCTGAGCTAACTCTGACTGGTTTAAAGAACAAACAAACCCAAAACATAGCTTCATGGTATTCAGATGGGAGCTAGCTTCTTCACAAGGACCAAAGAGTTTAAAATTGTTTTTTCTCAACCATCTCCTGTCCTTGACCCCAGCAGCCAGAGTTGACTTTGATGAATCAAAATGGTTTAGTCTCCAAGACTAATCCAAGAAGTTAATTCAGATTTTTTCTTGGGCTACTTGGATACTTTTCTGAATTCTAATTTCAAAGACTATGTCCAGATTTTAGCAGAAGCTACAGAAGAATTAATTTAGTCTAGAGCTATAAAAACTACTATTTTATTTAGAGCTACAGCAGTAGGCATTTGGTACATTCACTTATGCTCTATTTATGAGCTCATGACTAGCTTTCTTTCATCTCTGGGGTAATACATTTTTTTTTTTTTACAAAAAAGTTTTGTGAAATGAAACAATCTCTAATTATTACACACAAAGAAGAGTTTCATCATTATTTCTAAGGATATGCAGAAACATGTGCAAGTCTTGTAGGAACTGAGAAACTGACAAATCTGCCTTGCTTATTATATCTGATGCATAATCAAAGGCTGAATGTTCAGATATCTGATTAGCTCTTTGTTTTCTTACACGTGCACTGAGATGAGCATCAGTTGACCATTAGCATTCAAGAATTGATTATAAAGTTGTGTTTAAGAAGGTAAAGGCCGAGAATGTTAGCAAGAACCATGTGTAGTCTGGAGGCCTGACAACTGGACTATGCAGTCCATATTCCATACAGTCTGTGGCCTGCAAGATCTCCACTCTTGAGGTAACAGATTCTGTGATATAAGACCCTGGTCCCCCAGGATCTCTGAATTCCAGTCCTATCTGGCCACTCACGAGCTCTAAGTTATTCACCATTTAACAGATGACAGCAATGGTATCTACCTCACGGAATGTCTTAAGGATCAAATGAGATATTGTGATTTGCTCTGCCTGGTGCTTACTTACAACACCATAAATACTTAATCAATAATAACCAATTCTGTTACCATTCCAGCTATCGCTCTTTTCTTCTTACTATTTGTCCTTAGTCATCCACACACTATGAATAAAGTCTGAAGCAAACAGAATGTGGGGAGCAGCACTGTCACTTGCTCCAGTGGCTTAGCGTCTGAGGACAAAATATATTTCCAATCTAAATTTTAACGCTGATGCCATTTCAAAGAAAGTTTCTCTATGTTTGCTAAACAAACATAATAATCACAAATACACTTCTCCCTCACATGAATAGTATGTATATTCTATGATACTTTATGGGTAAGCTTTGAAGCGATCTGTCACCCAGGTTAAAACAGATTGTTCCTTCCACTGCATTTAACATAAAATCATCAGCAAAGTGAAAGAACATGAGGCAATCTGCTTATGTAGCTCACCTTTTTAACACGTCTCCTCAGTGTTGATGAGGAAGCATCCATATTTACAGCAAGCTGAGCCCTCACGGATTATTGGGTGGGCCAATATTTACATGATACTGGCCCACAAATAGGTTGGGTGGCTGTCACTTGGGTATAAAAGGACACCAGGTGCTAGCCAGAGAAGACAGAGGCTCCCCTCAGGAGCCCCAGACACCTCAGGAGGAGTCAATAGCATCTTCTCCCTTAAATAATCTCTGCCAGAGCTCAAAGTGTCCTCTGTAAGTAGGGCAAATGTACAACTTGTCCCAAAGGGTCACCTCAGAGCTGCTTTGTCCAGTAGACTCTAGCCACATATGGCTATTTAAGTTAATAAAAATGGAAAATTCAGTTCCTCAGTCCTGCTGGCCACATTTCAAGCATAGTCAATGAATACTGACTGGACAGTATAGAAGTAGAGCATCCTATCACTAGAAAGTCCTCTTGGCATCCCTGCTTTAGACAGAGCAGAGGGAAGCTCCAGTTACATAGTCAGTTAACATCCAGATAACAGAGTAAGCAGGGATGGCTCCCCAGGTATACTTCTTGGACAGCTGTTGTCACCTGCAATCACAACTGCCTATGCAAGGTATCAGAAGGCACCTAATGCCACGAGGAAGGATGCTGGTGAGTGGAATGTTTGATGTCAAACAGCTAATGCTGTCCAATAGAACTTTCTGCAATGATAATGCGACCTGCCCTGTCCACTTCAGCAGCCACTAGCCACATGGCTACTGAGCACTGAAATATGCTTAGTGTGCCTGAGGATGTGAAATTTTTCATTTTTTCATTAATTAAAATAGACACCTGGGGCTAGCAGCTATCAAATTAGATGGCATAGCTTTAGTAGATGAACTGCATGTTGAAGAGGAAAGATCAGAATTTCCTTCCCCATAGTAGCTTGAATCAGACCCTGTTTGGGGCTGGAGCAAACAGAGAGCAAGATGACAGCGGGGACAAAATGGAGCCGTACCTCTTTATTTGTGGAGGCTTCTGTGGGGTCACTGGGATGAAGAGGTGTGCTTGACGACTCTGCACCCAGGGGTGAGGAGCTGCCGGGAGGTGGAGACTGGAACACAGCAAGAGCACACAGCAGTGAGAACGCAAGGCATGCCGACACCCTGGCCCGGGGGAGAGGCCAGCAGAGGGGCAGCAGAACACTACTGAGAGACCCCAGTGGGAGAATGCACTCAAGGATCTACTGATACACAGGACTGGCCTGGGTGTCCAAGCTTTCTTTTCAGTTCCTGCCACTGCTCTAAAGGAGTTTTACAGCCCTGGCTCTTTTTCTCCTCAGGTCAGCCATTGAGAGAAAATAGAGAAAAAGTTGACTATCAAACTTAAAGTTCTAAATAAGTAGAATTAAGTGTATTATGCAAATTGTTTAAAATTTTCTCTTAATGAAAGACACAGATATTTAGCATACTAAATGTCTTATAAATCACCTGCCCGAGATGATATGAATGCACAAACACACATGCTGTGGTTTGAACTGAAGGCTTTGAGCTTGCTAGACAGGGGCTCTATCACTTGAGCCACACCCATAGCCCTTTGTGCTTTATTTTTTGAATAGGGTCTTGCTTTATGCCCAGGCTGGCCTGGACTACATACAATCCTACTTATACTTCCCATAAACTTGGGATGACAGCCATGCGCCACCATGCCCAACTTTTTGTTGGCTGAGATGGGGGTCTTGTGAACTTTTTGCCTGGGCTGGTCACCACACAAGGTCCTCCTGATCTCTGCCTCCCAAGTAGCTAGGATTACAGCTGTGAGCCACCACTCCCAGTAAAAGGCATGTATTTTAAAGAGGCAGTGGGAACTGATTTGGATGACTAGAAACCACCCCACCTGTATTTTCCTACTCAGTTCAGATGTCAAATGTGTTCTGTGACTTAATACACAAGGCACTGAAAATTCAGAGAAATGTTAACATTTCAGCACACAAATCACATTTACCTTGGATGATCTTAGAATGATTTAGAAATGCTCTGTCCGATAATGTGTCTGAAAACAAGGCTTAGAAAACTAGGTTTGGGGAACAGGATCCCTGCAGGGTGTGGTGGTGCCTTGGTGGATGGGTGCAGGCAAGCCCTACTTAAAGTGAGCATGAAACCCCACGATAGCGCACAGAACACTGCAGGTACTCCCTAAGTATCTGCTGAGTGACAGACCAAATAACCAAGCACATGAATAGGACAAATCCAGGCTCTGGAAACATTCCCAAGTGACATGAGAACAGTTCTGTGTGCTCCTGAAATCTTGGCAGATGAAGGGCATCCTCAGGTGAGCCAAAGATGGTAACAATGCTGCAGCTACGGTCCTCTGAGCAAAAGAGTGCAGTTTGTGGGCGATGTCTGAGAGCAGGTATAAAACACAGATTGAAAACATGTATGGTGTATTCTCTTGGGAAGTACAGGGATGTGAGCTAGGGGAGGTAAGTCTCAGGCAAAGGAAGCAAAATTACACTAGGGTTTGCTTGAATCCACATCTGCTCCCTTGGGGCTGGCCCCTTGCGATGTGGAGACACCAGTGAAATATCTTTGCATGGAAAGGGAGAATGTTTCATGAAAGCAGTGGTGCTGGGAGTGGAAGGCATGTTAAGAGACAAGGGGACCTCGTGAACATTTATGTGAGATTGAGAGAACGAATGCCCCATATTCTGAATTATAGGAAATACAGGGAGCACAAAATGAACCAAAAAATGATGTGGTATCAGTATTCAGACCAAGAAGTCGTATGATCCCAGCCTATGGCCATGTTATTACCCGATTCCAGGGAGGGACCTGAGGACCAGTGGCCCCTTAAATATTCACATGTAGAAGTGAAATGCTTGGCAGCCAAGCCAGAGGGGAGGCACAGGGAAACAGCAGACCTAAAAAGCAAGCCCCACGGCCCCTCGCTATCATAAAGCAGCCCCACGTGCCTTTAAAAAGGAGCACACAGAATTGTCCACTCAGCACCCAAGACAGTTGGGAGGTACTCACTTACTTAGCTCTGTTTAGCCTACTCAAAATTAATGGAGGAATATATGAGAAGTTAATGCCTTTAAATTTCCCCAGTTTTTAGATTTAAAGAGCTTCCTTTGATATTTATGGCTCAATTCCTGCCCCCACCCCAAGTAATTTTCTCCATCATAAAGATTTTAAGGGTCTAGTCCCTGAGGAAGCTAGTGCAATGAATCTTCTTTAACTGCATGGTTGTGGGACTTTGTAACACCTTCATTTAAAAAAAAGTACCCTGAAAATCTATATTTCCTATTTCTTTATTTTCTACTTCAGTGTTCTAAAACTAGATTTCTTACAACCCTGTGGGTACCAGACCATCCTAGGGTGATGTGGAAAGTCAGGTTATCAGGACAGTGAGCAGGGATGTGAAAAAGGAAGCTCAGAAACCTCAGAAAATCTAAGAGATCAGTGCTGGGTATCCACCAGGGAATGGTGGGGAAGAGCAACAAATAAGTCTGCAGGGGTCACTGCCCTGACAAAGGCTTTTGTGGCCTCAAACCAACCTTCTCAGGAACCACTTCCCCTAAGACACCCGATGCTCTAGGGTTCTGCACAGGCACAGACTCCTGTGAGTTTCCTTCCATGTGCATGTGCAACGAACAGCCTCTATCTACAGTTTCCCTTCTGCATTCAACGCTCAATTCAAAAGCATCCACTTCACTGATGCTTTCTCAGACTCTATTCACAGTACACTTCTGCCTTGCTGGCATGTGCCATGCTTAATCATTGCTTATGTACATGCCCCACTCCCCAGAGTTCTAGGTGGTGGGATTTTGTCTCCTTCCCATTCCTCACACAATTGCCTAACCTTGGTACTCAGCAAATGGAGGCACTGGAGAAATGATGTGGTTTCTAGCTTTACACTGCTTTAAACCTGCACAGGAAGCACTATGTTACAGATCCACTCACTGCTTCCTTGATAAATTTTAGTGGTCAATGTAAGCCCTCTTCTGCTATAGTATCCCTTCACTGCTCCGTGTAGGACGTTCAATTTGCATTTTGAGTTAGAGAAATGGTCTTTGCCAATGAAGATTCTAACCTGGGATCCAGCAAGCACTTTTGAAACACAGAGCTTTTCCAAAACAAGGGAACCCCTCTCAATACACCTGGCACAAGCCTACAAATCACACACACCATAGCTGACCAAGTCAAGGGTGGACAGCAGCTCCAAACAGACTCTGTTCCTAGAGAGCCAAAAAATGGTGTTTGAGTATCTGCTTCAAAAGCTCTCCAACTTCCCCCTGGATATACTCTTAAATGTCATAGAAAAAAACTGAAATTAGATAATACTGTTCGTTTTCAAAGAGTGTATTGGAAACAAAATTTGGTCAATGGCATTTCTGTCAGGAGTCTCATGTTTCTGGGCTAGTGAATGGATGTTCAATATTAGGTGAATGATACCAAAGGTGGGAAGCAAATAAGGATTTGAGAATTCACAAAGATGAGAGCTACCAGGTCTCCTTTGCATTCCACAGTTACCAGCACCACAGTGCTCGTCCTGTGGCACCTGGGAAAGGCCCTATCCCACCTTATGACTCCAGGACTATGTACAGCTGCTGGTGCCACAGGCCCAGGCATCTCTCACATTCATTCTGAGAGTCTAGGGAAGGTCTCCTTCCCATCCGGTGTTTTGGGAACCATGGTTGCTGGAATCACCTGCACTTGCCTGAGGGACCTGGGGACGGTACTCTCCACATCCCATACCACTGAGATTGTGGAAGCTCCCACAAGCCCAGTGCCATCAGGGCTCCCCTCTGTAGAGCCTAAAGACATACCCTTGAAAGCACATGTCCACTGCAAAGTCAAAATTATCTTCATGGAATTGCTGCAACCCAGACACTGCTGACATCAATGATGAAAAAATAAAACCACACAGAGATTATGTTTTTGAACTCCACTATAACCAATTCCAAAGCAACTATCCAACTGATATCCCATATCTCACCTAGACAAAAAAGTCTTTTCCTACAACAGTTACTTGATAAAATGGAAAGAAATGAATGCTACACCAGATGTGCGGACATCAACATAAGGATACAAGAAACAGGAAAAGAAACACAACCCTTCCAAAGGAAAAAAGTCATTCTCCAGAAATAGATCACAATTTGAAGGAAATTGTGAAATGCCTAAAAGAGAATTTAAAATAATGATCCTGAGGAAACAGTGAAATACAAGAGAATACTGATGTCGTACAAAGAAATGAGAAAAACATTCAGGATATGAATGAGAAATTCACCAAAGACAAACAATAAAAAAAAAACCAATTAGAAATCTTGGAGCTAAAAACTTCAATCTGGGCAAGGAAAAATATAAAAGAGAGCTTCCACAGCAGACTAGAATAGCAGAAGAAAGAGTTTCAGGACTTGAGGACAGGACTTTTCAATTAACCCAGTCAGATAAAATTTAAAAAAATGAAAAGGGTCTATGAGACTTAGGGGATCCCGTTAAGCATTGTACTACGGGAATTACAGAAGGTAAAGGGAGGAAATGCACTGGAAACGTTTCATGAAATAATGGATGAAAGTTCCCAAATTTTCAAAAAGGTATGGAAATGCAGATTCTGAGAAGCTCAAAAGAACCCTAAATAAATTCAACCAAAACATACTTTCATCAAAGCATATTACAATCAAACGTCAAAAGTACAAGACAGAGAATCCTAAAAACCACAAGTGTCAAGTTATGTATAAGGGAAGGCCCACTGAACTTACAGCAGATTTCTCAGCAAAAATCTTAAGAGGCCAGAAGAGACTGGAATGATATATCCTAATTAAGAAGAAAAAGTAGTCCCAAGAATAATCCCAGCAAATTATGTTTCAAAACTGAAGGAGAAATAAAGTCTTTCTCACAGAAGCAGAAACTGAGGGAACTCACCCCCAGACTAGCCCTATAATACTTAAGAGAGTCCTACTCTACAAATGAAAGGATAATAACTATTATCATGACAACACATGGACATACAAAACTCACTAGAAGATCAGACACAAAAGAAAAAAGGAAAAGAAAATCTTAGCATGACTTAAAACTACCAAATCACAAAAATAAACAAACAGAAGAGGTGAAA